TATTGGATCATTAAATCTTATAAGTGCCTCTTATAGTTCCATAGATTCTATGTACAAGCACATATTAGAGATTTCTAAAAGTCTTCTCCCTGTTTGTTGGAGTACACTGGTTTGCAGACGAATATTTCTCTAATTTCTCGGATTGGTTTCTTTTATTTTCAGTTGCTATGTCTTACCTTACATTTGGTGACATTTTGGTTTACTCACCATAGAGAGATCTATGCTTATTCACAATGGGAGGTGAGAAGTTGGTCAAGAGAGTGTGTGAAAAGCAGAGTAAATCTTCCAGTCTCAGAAGGGAGGAACACTGATTTGCCCTAGTCTAATTTGTGGACTCATTTGTACAATAGCTTGGATAGAATAAAATGGGGTTAATGACTGAGGACAATTTTTTTCAGGAAAGTTCAATGTATATCATTTTTTTCCTCTCTGAATTCGTTGTGGCAACTGAAATTAGTACACATTCTTTAATGGCTTCATCTAAGTTGAGTCAGTGGCTTCTGGCACGGTTACTTGTCCCAAGGAAAAATCAAGAGCAGTAATCCCATTAACGTCTGCCCTCTGTGTGTACTTTAGTACTTATACTTCCCAGAATTGCTGTTATACTTAAGATTTACTTTCCCAGCTCCTGCTTCAAGGTCCTCCAACTCAATTATAGTACTTACTGATCTCAGTTAAGGAGGTTTGTGTGGCTCTATTACCTTATTTTATTCCCTTTTACATATTTAGCAGGATGGTCCTTTTCATCCCACAAATGCCTGACTAGGTTTCACATGTACTACATTTGGCAGGTGCATGAGGCCCTCCCGTAGTTTATAATATTGTTCTTTATATGCCTTTGGTCATATCCCTATGTTCAAACTACCATTTTCATCCAGAAGTCTTATTGCTTACTTTTTAAAGTACAAAAAATAATAGTCTCGTTAATCTATCTACAACTGGGTCAGAGGTTGGAATTGCTGTTCTGAAACTCATATTCAAGAGATAATGCTCCCAACTCACCCTTCATTACAGGAATAATTAACTGTTGATCTAAACCGAGTATCTGTGTTTATATGCACTGTTCCATTGAAGGGTTCTGGAGGCATTCCACATGATTTTCCTAGGGAGAAGAAGCAGAATTTGGGGCTAAGTGTGAAATTCAATTTACCTTTGTTTATAAGGTTTGAACTGGAGTAAAGTATAGCATACATAGATCTGATTGTTCCATAGAATATATAAGTTTGAGGAAACTTAGAAAACCTCAGAATCAGGCACTACCTTCCATCTCCTAATAACAATTTAGTCATTTATGGCTAAGGAGTTGTACTCTCACTCTGTCAGCCAAAATTAAAGGCCTCAAAATTTGGAATTTCCTCCCTATCTTTAGTTAGCCAAGCACAGTTCACTGCAATCCACATAATTTTCTTTTGTGTCCCTGTTTCACTCATTTTTTGGCTTTAGCCATCAAGAGTGAACTTTAGTAAATGGAAATTTTCTCTCCAATTCATTTTGTGAGAGTCATTTTCATGAAATGAGTCAAGGTGTAGAAACTCCATGCCATAAGAATGGATGACCTATAAGACCACCTTTATCTAAATATGCTGGGCAAACTTAGACATCTTGCCTCCAAAATTTGAACAAGTTGATTCAAATCTCATATATGAACTTTAGAAGACATGAAGTAGCTCACAGGGCAGGGTTACTCACGTCTACAGATGTCTTTGACACTTGACCAGGTCAAGTTTTCTAGGCAGGTGATAGAGAACACATTCCCAAAATACCCAGGAAGGCATTCATAATTCAAAGATGTCCCAATTGGAAACTCAGACTCATCAATTGGGGTTGTAGAACGGGCAAAAGGAAATTGCTCTGGGGTTTTACAGTGACCTAGAGAACAAAACCACAGAAATATCAAAGTTGGCAGAGAGATTTTTCACCCTACCTCTTCTTTTTCTCCAATTAAGCTCATAGATGGAACCACAGAAACAGACAATAATGGCAAAAGATCTTCTTCCCTTGGAAGTTTGTTTCTTCTTCCCCTAGATGTTTCCTAGAGGTTTTCAAAGGCATCTACTCAATGGTGCCTACTGATCATAACATTTTTTTAATAGAAAAATCACTCAGTTTTCTTATCTTTCTGCTCTTATTTCAACAAAGTGAAAGCTTCAGTTTATAGCTTCATGTCAGGCCTCCTATCAGAGTGCTTGTATCAATAGTACACCATTCATATCCTTATTTATTAGTGCTAATTCACTCATGTGTAGCAAAACATGCTTTATCATCTTTTTCCATCTACTTTGTTCTTAGGGTGCCCATCATAAGATGTCTCTCTGGTACTAAATAGCAGACACCACTTGTAATGGGTTGAATGATATCCTCCAAAAGATATATCCTCTCAAAACTTAGAATGAAAACTTATTAGAAAATATAGTCTTTTCAAATACAATTAAGATAAAGATCTCAAAATGAGATTGTCCTGGATTTAGGGTGATTTTCTTGTGAAAGAAAGGAAAGGAAGATTTGGGACATAGAGACAGGGGAAAAAGCCATTTGAAGACAGAAGCAGAGATTAGAATGATGTATCCACAAGCCAAGGAATGCCAGGAGCCACCAGAAGTTGAAAGAGGAAAGCACAGGTTGTTTTCTAGAGCCTTGAGAGGGAATGTAGCCCTGCCAGCACTTTACTTTCAAACTGCAAGCCTAAAAAACTGTGAAATAATGTATTTCTCTTGTTTTAAGCCACCTACTTTGTGGTAATTTGTTACAGCAGCCCTAGGAAACCAATGCACCACTCTTCTTCTGATGCTAAACCAGGCATTTAAAGACAACGAAACAGACTAAGCCATAAGTCCCATAAGAAGCTTTGTCTTCTTGCTGGGCGTGGTGGCTCGTGCCTATAATCCCAGCACTTTGGGAGGCCAAGGTGAGAGGATTGCCTGGGCCCACAGATTTGAGCCCAGCCGGAGCAACTTGGCAAGACCATCTCTACAATAAATCAAAAAATTAGCCGGGCGTGGTGGCATGTGCCTGTAATTTCAGCTGTTTGAAAGGCTGAGGCAGAAGGATCACCTGAGCTTGGCAGGTTGGGGCTGCAGTGACCATCAGCGTGCCACTGCACTCTAGCCTGGTTGACAGAGTAAGACTCCAACTCAAAAAAAAAAAAAAAAAAAGCTTTGTCTTCTTTATGAGACAGTATATTGACTCAACTACTCAACCACCACGTCTTTGGAAAATACTGCTTCTATCTGTTCATTCATTAAAGTCTGAGCTGGAGTTTAGGCATTAGCATTTATAAAAACCTTACTGGATTCTGATAAGTACCACTCAGTTGGAGGATACGGGAGATCAAAGAAAGGTTAAAGCCTTTCATCACATTTAACCTTTCTCATTGGGTTGCCCTTCTGTCTCAAAGTTCTCTGTGATTAATGTGCTATTCCAAGGCTAGTGGAATATCCCTAATCTTCCAGCTTCCATTCTGGGAACAGAAGGGCCAGGCAATGTCTCCAGTCCTTAGGAAGAAGTAGTCTCTTCTTTTTGTACTCTTGTCTTTTGGGCTACTCTTTCTTTGCTTCTTGCCCTACAGTGGAACAGTTCAGTACAAAGATTAACATGGGGCCCATAGGCAAGCTGACAAATGGGCATAATTTTAGTTAAGGTTTTAAGCTAGAAAGACAAAAGTCTTTTTGATTACTTAGCCCTTTCAGCAGAAGACTAACTAAAGCCTTAGCTAAATTAGTACAACTTCTATAGAAAAAGTATGGAGAATTCTCAAAGAACTAAAAATATAATGACTATTTCATCCAGAAATTCCTTCTGCTGGGTCTCTATTCAAAGGAAAAGAAATAATTATACCAAAAAATACCTGCACTCATGTATTTTTCAGAATCAACTTAAGTGTTCAGCAATAGGTGATTAGCTAAAGAAAACGTGAGCTGGGCTTGGTGGCTCAGCCTGTAATCCCGCGCCTTGGGAGCCTGAGGTGAGTGGATTGCCTAAACCTGTGGGTTCGAGACCCACCCGGGCAACTTGGCGAGACCTCATCTCTACAATAAATAAAAAATCAGCCAGGCATGGTAGCGCGTGCCTGTAATTCCAGCTACTTGGAAGGCTGAAGCAGAAGGATCACCGGAGCCCAGCAGGTCGAGGCTGTGGTGGTTGGGAGTGGCCACTGTATTCAGTCTGGGCGACAGAGTGAGACTCCAACTCAAAAAAAAAAAAAAAAAAAAGAAAAAAAGAAAATGTGTATATACAGTGGAATACTATTTGGCCGTAAAAAAGAATGAAACCATGTCTTCTGCAATAATGTGGATGGAACTGGAGGTCACTATCTTAAGCAAAACAACACAGAAGCAGAAAGTCAAATGCTACATGTTCTCACTTATAAGTAAGAGTTAAATAATGTGTACACATAAACATAGGGTGTGGAATAATGGATACTGAAGACTTGGGAGGGTAAGACGGCAAGGGGTGAGGAATTAAAAAATACTTAATGGGTACAATGTACATTATTCTGGTGAGGGTTACATAAAAGTCCAGGCTTCACTACTACACATATATCCATGTAACATAATGGCACTGTACTCCTTAAATTTATATTTAAAAATAATATTCGCATTGCAAGTTCTGTCCTTTGCATGCCCATGTACCCCTATGAACTTATGGAGAGTGTACGTGTTATGCTGTTATTGGCTAGTGTTCGTAGGCAGTTGTCATGTCTCTCCAATGAATTTGTTTTTCTTCCTGGTTTACATAAGTTGTGCCTTACTGCCTTTCCTCCACCTCTCCCCTCACTCGTCTTACCTCACCCTGCTCCACTCTACCAGCAAGAAGAGTTAGTCACATCATGCCTATTAAACACATCTTGGCACTATTGGAACTCATCTGTTTTGCCTACAATATGTAATTTTGGCACTTCCACTTATGACAAAATTAAGCTCACAAACAAATAATATAGAAATGTGAAATATTTGGTCTGGGTATTCTAAATCCATTTATGATATGTGAAGGCAAGTACTGACCAGCAAGAACAGAAAGTTCACAGCGAGGGGCAAGGCCACTCCAAATCCCTTTCCCTTGATGGTCACTTGTGCAGCGGATGGTGCTCTCCCCAATGAGTTCGAAGGTCATCCCTCTGTCTGGGTGGGAGTCGCATGTGTAAGATATTTCTTTTCCATAGGGAAAATCTTCCAGAGGAGTTCCCATGTGTCTCCCATTAAGGATAGTTGGAGGACTTGGACAAAATATTTCTAGAGAAAAGACAAGAGCTCTCAGTTCCATTAACATTTAAAAATTCTAATCCGAGCTGCTTCTACAATTATGGGGTGCTATGACTGTTTTACCAAGTCAGCAATACCTTTTTTCTTAGGGGAACTACAAAATAAATGTATTAAGCCTCTGCCTAGGTGGAGTTAAGTGAAATGATACTTAAATAAATGTTTATTGCAAAATCCAAAAGAAACTTAAGCATCCTGAATTCTTCAGATAGTTAAGATTTTTGAATGATAATTAAAAGTGTACTCCTTTTTTTTTTTTTTTTTGAGTTGGAGTCTCACCAATAAAAACTTTCTCAGCCATATTTAAGGGAAATAATCCATTAATTTAACATTTTTTGAGCAACTACAAAACGTCAAGTACTATTTTAAGCACAAGTTTGGGGTAAATGCAGAACATGTGCCCTGCTCCCTCCCCCCACCCTGCTAACTGTCTTCCGATTGGGGGGATGGCCCCTAGCCAAGGTCTCCTGTGTCTGGTCAAAATGCCCTTGAAAATATGCATATCTGCAAACTCAAGACAGCTTTCGAGAAAAAACATCTTTTTCTTCTTCTTGGCGGGTGATGCTTGCTCCCTTTCCCAAGCTAGGGGTATATCATCTCTCCCCACATCTACTGGGGAAACCTTATACTGACCAGCCGCCATTGGTTTCCTCCCTTAAGTAATAATAAACCCATGCCTTTACCAACCTGTCCTCTGGGTGATTTCCTCAGAATAGGTTAACATTACTTATGTGAGCACCCTGTCTGCTCTGGGGCTGCCGCGATACAACAAGATAAACATGATCTTTGACACAAGGATCTTCATCCTAGAGACATCTTTCTAAAATATATTGTACATTTACTATTTATATATCAATGATTTAATTTTTCTTGATGATGCCAGGTTACAGTACTCAAAATAAAGATGAAAGATTACAGTAATTCTGTCACAAGGAAATGAAATATACTACTTTTATGTTTCAAAAGGCTCAAGAATGTGATACTTTTTTGAGATATTTATTTGTTTTTGCAGGTTTTGTTTTTCATTAGAGAAACACACATTTATTCCTTTGAATGTCTCTATTTGGAGACATTCTTTCCCCATTCTAATTTGGTTGCGTTTTGGGAAAGCCAATTACAGCTTAAAATAATTATAGGTAAACTAATCAAAGGCTAAAATAGCTTAACCAATGTTTATGCTCAAGTAAGTGATTTCAGATCTATCTTTGGGCTAATGTGGCTATTTTACCTTTCTTTCTTTCATAACCAAGTGCACCAGGAAAGTTAAGAGTGTCAAATAGCTGATTTCCAAATATGGAAGATGAAATCATCAAGTTTCATCATTTAAATCAGTACAAGACATCCAAATAACTTTAAAGCAAAGCAAGGTATTCATATGAGCAAAATTTTATTGTAAGCATGTATTTTTCAATAGCTGTGATCAGAAGATACATCAATATCCTGTTTGATTTAGTGCAGAAATAAATGGACAGATTGGATATCTCAGTAGTATTTCTTCATTTAATACACTATTTTTCTGTCATTCTTAAAAATAAAAAACAACCTTCTTGATCCCACTTCCCTCTCTTCTGTAGTCTTATTTCTCTACTCCCTTTACATGACTGCTCCTCTAAGATGTTGTGTATGATCTGTTACAATTCATCCTGTCTGTTCATTCTCTCTAGAACTCATTCCAAACAGACCAATCAGGTCTCTAGCACTCCACTGAAATTGCTTTTGTTAGGCTACATTGTATCACTGCCAAGTTGCTGAACTCAGTGATCAATTTTCTGTTCTCATCCCATTTGGCCTCTCTATAGAATTTGACACAGTGTTTTAGTCTTATTGTTTTAACAAAATTTCTTCACTTTGCTTTAAGGACAAGTAGCCTCCTGTTTTCTCTTCTCTCACTCAAAAAAGTGACTGTTTTGTCCTAACCTTCTTTGCTGATTCCTATTCTTCTTTTCAACTTTTTTTTTTTTTTTGAGTTGGAATCTCACTCTGTTTTCCAGGCTGGAGTGCAGTGGCACACTCACGGACACCCCAGCATTGACCTGCTGGGCTCCAGCAATCCTTCCACCTCAGCCTTCCAAGTAGCTGGAGTACAGATGCGCACTATCACGCCCGACTAATTTTTTGATTTATTGTAGAGACAAGGTCTCGCCAAGTTGCCCAAGCTGGTCTTGAACCTGTGGGCTCAGGCAATCCATTCTCCTCGGCCTCCCAAAGTGCTGGGATTGTAAGGTGAGCCATGGAGCCTGGCCCTTTTCAACTTCTTAATCTTGGATGCCCAGGCTCAGTCCATGTATTTGTTTTCTAGCTGCACTCACACCCTAAGTGATCATTTGTCTTAGTCCCAATTTTAAGCATAATAGATACATTGATGGCTTCTAAATATCTAGGTCCAGCCTGGGACTTTCTAAAGTATCCACTTGGATATCTAATAAAAATGCTAAACTTATGATCCAAGCTCAACTTTTGATCTCCCCCCCCATTACCAAACTTGCTCTTCACATAGTCTCCTCCATTGCAATTAAGGGAACTTTTACCCTCACAGTTGCTCTTGCCAAAAATCTGCAAACCATCTCTAACTCTTCTCTTTCTCTCACACCTTCTATCTAAACCATAAGCAAATCCTACCATCTCTGCCTTCAAAATATATCCAGAATTTGACCACATCTCATCACCTCCTTCAACTACTATCCTGGGCCAACATCTCTGATTAGATTGTTGCAATAGCCTCCCAATTTGAACCCTCAGCTACACCCTTAGGTTTGGTTGGCAACACTTACTTTTTGGGTCCTCAGTTGCTTTCTCCATCAATAGCAATAATGCCACTGTCACTTCATTTACTAATAACACTGTCTGTTTCAGCCTCCCCAAGAATGAATGATGGGCTCCTGCATAGCTTCTGTTGTGCTTACTGCCGTGGAAGTCAAAGAAGATTCCATGCCTTAGCTCAACATGACTGAATCCAAGGACTCTCTGCCTCATTCTACCAGTTCTGGGCTTAGATGAAGTACTAACAGGACATGGATTCTGGTGTCCCCAGAGTCTTCCCAGAGGGATTAGATAATATAGTCTGAAAGTCATGAGGTTTAATAGCCATGGGGTAAAGAGAAAACAAGAGAAAGGAAAGATCCAGTGATAAAATGCTTGTTCTTCCTCTTCCTAACAGACAGTTCTAGTTCCATAGGGTCAATATGACCAAACAACCAATTGTTTATGGGTCTCTCAGAAACACACATCTATTTATTTGCTTTCCTTTCCACTCCACCTCCTTACTTATTTTTCTTCACTCTTACTGCCCTGGGATTGTGCCCTCCAATAATGCATTGTAATTTAAGCTTTGCCTCTGGCATTGTTTCTGGGGACTCTCAAGCTATGACATATTTTTTTTCAACCCAATTCTCCCTAGAGTAGTTAGTATGATGCTATCAAAAGCAAGTTAGATCATGTAACTTTTCCACTCATAACACTCCAATGACTTCCCATCTTGCTCATAGTGAAAACTAATTTTTTATAGAATGTAGAATGACTTTTATTTTGTCATCTTCTACTATGCCTGTATTTATTCACTTGATACCAGCCATATTAGCTTTCCAGAAAGTGTCAGGAATAGGCTTTTCACAGAAAATGCCAGAAACATTTCTGCCTTGAAATTTCTGCTCCATTCACCTGTAAAGTTCTTTCTCTATCTATGCACACTGGGAGTCAACCAATTTCTTCAATACTCACCTGCTACTTTCTCAGTGAGGACTTTCTCAGTCACCTTATTTAAAATGAAAACTTTAGTCGGGTTCGGTGGCTCAGCCTGTAATCCCGCGCCTTTGGGAGGTTGAGGTGAGTGGATTGCCTGAGCCCGTGGGTTTGAGACCCGCCTGGGCAACTTGGCGAGACCTCATCTCTACAATAAATCAAAATGAGCCGGGCGTGGTAGCGCACGCCTGTAGTTCCAGCTACTTGGAAGGCTGAGGTGGAAGGATCGCCGGAGCCCAGCAGGTCAAGGCTGCAGTGGCTGGGAGCGGCCTCTGCACTCCAGTCTGGGTGACAGAGTGAGACTCCAACTCAAAAAAAAACAAAATGAAAACTTTGTTCTTTTCCTGGGATTTCTTATCCCCCTTCATAACAATAACTATTTATTGCATTACACCTTTTGTTTTAATAATACTTAGTATTTGGAAATTTCTATTTTTGTCTTTTTTTGGTCTTTTTCTCTACATGAAAATCTAAACAACGTGAGAAGGGACTTAGTCTGCCTTGTTTACATGAATAGTCCCGGTTTCTAGAAGATTGGTTGGCACATAATAGGTGCTCAAAACATTTTTTTTTGTTAAAAGAATGAGGATATGACTAAATGGATGATTAAGGGAAGGATAGAAAAGTTAAACTGTGGGCCTAGTGTGGTGGCTTACACCTGTAATTCCAGCACTTTGGCAGGTCAAGAGGATTGCCTGCGCTCAGGATTTCAAGACCAGCCTGGGCAACATGGTGAGATCTCTTTTCTATGATAAATAAAAAAATTAGCTGGGTGTGGTGGTGTGTGCCTATAGTCCCAGATACTTGAAGGCTGAGGTGGAAGGATCACCGGAGCCTAGCAGGTTGAGGCTGTGTTGGTCGTGATTGTGCCACTGCACTCCAGTTTAGGTGATAGGACAAGAATGACTCAAAAAAAAAAAAAAAAAATTGAAGTGTGACTATTACTTTTGGCAGGAAAAAAAGAGAAAAATCTGGCATAGAATCATGCCATAAATTTATTTCTATGAAGTATTCTTCCCCATTTATAGCAACTATGATCATAAGTATTTATAGGATAGCACCCAAAACACATGATGCTCAAATGTTTCTTGTAACTATTAAAACAAAGAACTATTTTTATTAAGAATGAGACAGACATTAGATAATTCTACGGGGTACACCACATTAAGGGAAAAGAAAGAGAAAGATCAAGATCTGAACATGTATTTCTTCTACTCACGTTCACACACAGGAAT